CAATGAGCGTTGAGCAGTGTGCGATGAGCAATGAGCAATGAGCAGTGAGCAGCCCCTCCCTAAACAAAGTGAAGCGCAGGACGGGGTCCGGTGGATGGGAGGCAAGGAAACGCGGGGGGTTGCCACGTGCGCTGCCGCCGCCGCCGCAGGCAGCACCCCTGCGGCGGCGGCAGCGGCAGCAAGCCGTGGACCCAAACGCCGTGCCGCCGCCGCCGCAGGCAGCACCCCTGCGACGGCGGCGGCAGCAAGCCGTGGACCGAAACGCCGTGCCGCCGAGTCCCGTGGCTGTGGCCGTGGGCTTCTGGCAGGAAACTACGGCCGCAACTCGGCAGCACGGGGGCGTCGCAGCGTGCCCCCGCCGCCGCCGCGCTGCCCCCCGGGCACGGCGGCGGCGGCAGCAAGCTTGGGCCCAAACGCCGTGCCGCCGAGTCCCGTGGCTGCGACCGTAGACCGTGGGCCGGAAACTGCGGCCGCAGCTCGGCGGCACGTGGTTCTGTTCAAATCGCCAAGCGTGCAGCAGCGCCGAACCACGCTTCCCGGCCTCGGCGCATGCCTTCAGGGGCCCCCTATCGCTGGGCACACCCCTCCAACACCGAACATGCGCCCGGGGGGGAGGGCGGCCCGGGCTGCCCAGGCCAAAGTGGGCCGCCCTCGAGCAAGAGGCGGCCGGTCTGTGTGCTGAATGAATGAATGGATGCGTACTACTGCAACCCAGCCGTCCAGCCGGCACGCCTCAATGTTTAGGTGCTGAAGGCTGGTCAGCGTGCTGACCAAGTCATCCAAGCTGGCGCAGCTGAGTGCGCACAGGTGGAGCCTCAGCTCAGCTAGCTGGCCAGGCGAGCCGCAGGCTGCCAGTGCGGCGGCAAGCTCGGCGCGGCAAAACATCTCGCCCACTATCTCGCCCACATATTCACAATTAAGCTGTGGCTCACGGGAGTCAAGCGAGATGTCCAGCCGCTGCACGCTGCCAGCCGCACGCCGCTCCAGCCAGCGGCAGAAACAGCGAAGTGGCGGCAGCAGCAGCTCGCCGTCACACATGTACTCTGTCTCTATGCAGACCTTCACGCTGTCCAGCAGGCTGGGGAAGTGGGCCACCTGCTCCCAGCGCTTGCAGACCAGGGGGAGCACCCGCTGCCTGCAGGGGAGCACGGCGGCGGCGGCGCGCGCGTTGGGAGCGTCGTCGTGCCTCGGCCGGCTCCTTGGCAGCAGCAACCTCAGCCTTGGTGCCCCTCATTGCAATTGCATCTCTAAGGGGAGCCAGGCGCCTGCGCACAGGCTCGGGCCGGCCCGGGCCGAAACCCACCTCTCCTGGAAGTCCAGCCAGCTGAAAGCATAGGCCAGCAGGTCGTCTGGCAAGAGCGTGATGGCAGCCTGGCGACCCGCACTGGAGGTGCTTCCAGCCCTTTGGATTGTGTAGCTAGCCATGGGGGGCGTGCTTGGCCTGTGTTGTTCAAAGGAGAACAGGCAGGAAGAAGGACAAACAAGGGGAAGGAATAAAATGCCAGCGAAGCGCCGTGCTGGGCGGCGCGCTGCCCGCTGCTGTGTGCTCCGGCCCATGTTGTGCTGTCTCGAAGTTTCCAGCTTCTGCTTTTCAAGGCCTTGGGAGGAATGGCCTTGGGAGGAATGACAGCTGCAGCCCACCCAACACGCCAGGATGGCGGGGGAGCCGGCCGGGCACAGATGGTGGCAGAGGCGCAAGTGTGGGCGGTGCTGGCTGTCAGAGCTGTTCAGCGACTGCGCTTCCTGCCAGCATTTCATTGTCACCAGGTTGATAACACCAGCCAGCTGGCCATGCATGTGGCAAGGGGATACTGTCGGTCACAAGGGGTGGGGACTCCCCCCATCATTGCCCGCCGCCCACGTTACTTGGCCGCCGCTGGCGCGCACTCCCGCTTGTGCCCGCGCCTCCAGTGTGCCATCTGGCACTCCCGGCTGCGGCAGGCGCCGGCGAGGGGAGGCGCATGGATTAGATCAGAGCTTGCCTGGCGCAGCAACCCATATATGTATATACCACCACAGCATGGAGCCTGTTGCCACGCCCCGCTCGCATACAAGCCCAGCGGGCCCCTCATGCAGCCAACTTAAGCGCCGGCACCCGTCCCCCGCCCCCACCAGCAGTAGGCCACCGCACGGCAGCGGGAGCACTTCTTCAGCTCCGCCGCGTGCTGGCCGCAGGTGCCGCAGGCGGCCTTGGCGTTTGGCGCCGCGCCGCCCCACCGCGCCTCGCTCGCCATCGGCACGCGGGGCGCGCCGCGGGGCGCGGCCGCCACGTGCAGCCGCAGCTCCCTCCGCTGCTCCTTCACCTCTGCCATGCTGGCAGAGTAGGCGGCAGAGGCCCAGGCCCGGGACAGCTTGTACTCCCGCTCCGCATCGTCCAGCAG